CCACGACCCCTCGGCGAGACAGGCGGGGGAGGGGAAGGCGTCGAGAGCTCCAAGGGGACGACCCGCGACACTGCGCGGGAAGGGACCGAGGCAGGACCATACGTCAGACATCAGACCAGAGAGGAGTGAGGCCATGCGGTCCATTCCTTCGTGGAACATGGGTCCGTCGTCCTCCCCCGCCCTGCGGGCGAAACAAAGGGGCGCCTGCCTTCTTCTCCTGCTGCGGGCGGGAGGAGGAGGGGGGGGAGGAGGAAGGGACAGGTGTAGCCGAGGCGGAGCAGCCTCAGTCCACACTCCCACGTAGGCGTCGGCCACTCTTTCCCACACAACTTCAGGGAGGGCCAAAATTTTTTGCACCTGCATGGGCAGACACAGTGCAGCACGCGAGGTCGGGGCCTCGGAACGGCAAGGGGTATGGATGGACCACACAGCGGGCACTCGCCCGTCGACGGCGGCCAAAAAAAGGCGCGCAGCAGCTCGGACCCACGAGTTCTCTCTCCCAAGCACCTCGCGGGCAGATTCGGAGGCCCACGGGACCCCCCACTTGAACCTGGAATCACGCCACGCACTAGTTCCGAGATGGGGTTCGGGCGGGCGGTACGCCAAATCCCAAGACATTCTTTCACCGAGAACGCAAAGGCCAGCAACGGCACCTTCTACGATGGCATGCTGAATGCTGAGAACTAAATCCAGGTCCAGCGTGAACTTCTGAGTCTGGCTGGACCAAGCTGCAGTGACCCGCACCTCTAACCCACTGAAGCTGAAATGCTCGCAGAACCAAGGGGAAAGACAAACAAACAGATCGATAGAGGGAACGAGGATCACGACATAAGATCTCCCCTGGAGAGAAGGGGAACTGGGCACCGAGGAAACAGGCGGGGGACACGAGGGCACTTCCACGGAGACATGTGGGACCTCAATAGACATGGCGCGGGGAGCCACAACAATAGGACGGAAAGGGGCACCATGTACTTTGCGGGCAGGAATGTGGGCGAAACACTCAGACAGACCTTTGGATCTGTTGTCGCTTTTAACATTTTTTCTTTCAACGATGGCTTCAGCTAGCTCCGAGGGGGAAGGGCGAAGCGGGGAGGCGGCCCAAGCCAGCCTACAACCTTGAGCGCCCTGAATATGTTTCAACAGCCTCGCACCGTCCCAAAACTCAGTCACGCAGAAGGGGCACAACGTGCCCGTGACAAAATTGGTAGGGCTCTCGGAGGTCTTATGGGTCTTACCCACATGGACCTTGATAGTCTTGGGGTCGTCCGCCGTGAATCCACACATGTAGCACAGGTATTTAAGAATGGGAGGGGAGGGCAATTGCGAACCAGCAAAGGAAGAATGGGGTTCACCTGGGGGCTGACCTTCCACGTCCTGAGGGGCAGGGCGCACAGCATGGATGGGCGTGCGCTCTTCTGCTTCAAAATCAGTGTCTGGTCTTGACTGCTTGCGCTGCTTGACCCAGTGGTCGTGCTCTAAGTCCTCAACGAAAAAATGCTTAGCCGCCTTCGCAGCCTTGGCCACGAGGCCTTTGAAAACGCCTGGCGTGCGGCGGGCAATCTCGAGGAGTTCTTCGATGTAATCCTGATCACTTTGGCCCGTGGGAAACCTATATCGTCGCATCCATAACATGTCAGCTTGAACAAGCTGGGGCCAACACTTCGGCACACTCCAGAGAACATCGATATACACTCTCACCGCTGGCGGGGCCAGAAGGAGGACGCTAGGAAGCATGCGCAATCTGGCAACCGACAGCACTTGGTCTATGGCTAAGCGTTGGGTTCTGAGGTAAACCATAACATTAGAATCCTGGTCCCTGGTGTGATTTCGGAGGCCCTTGTTGGTAGCCGTACGATACACCTGAGAATGGTAGGCGCGGATCTTCTTAAGAAGGAAATCAGGGATGTCATCCCACACTCCAGCAGCGAAAAGGAAACGAGTAGCCCCTAACGTTTCCGCGTACCGAACGTTAGTTTGTAACGAGAGGAGCGGGGAGGGGGAGACAACCTTCTTGATGGGACGGAGAGCACCAACCATCGAGGCGTTCCTAGCACAGATTTCTCTGCCCATCCCTCCATTGGCAGACACAAGCACACCCAAAATCTTATGAACTTGAACGACGTCGATGCGTACGTCAAGAGCAGGAAGATGGATCCTGGGCGGGAGAGTATCAAACAAATTACGAGAAGCCGCCTTGGCCCCAGGACCCCTAAAACAAATCAGGGCTTTAGTTTTAGCACTGTTAACGAGGAGCCCACGCTTGCCTACAGAATCGTGGATAATTCTGAAAACCTTCGAAAGTTGATGAACGATCGTGTTAGCTGGTCCGCCCACCAGGATCGTCAGATCGTCAACAAAAGAGAAATCCGCCGCTGGATCATGCCAGTCTTGAGGCCTAGAAGCCTGATGGGGAGCAGGAGGGGCCTGCCAAACAAGATCTTCCGCTTTCATGCGTTCTTGAATTTCGCGGAGGGCACTGGAGAACACCAAGTTGAACACATCCCCCGCCAAAATGGAGCCAGGGCGCGATCCCACAGAGGGGGCAACCCACGAAGCCGAGAGACCGAGCTTCCACATGGAGCCCGATTGCGATTCCTGGAGTAAGAACAAGATGTGCTCCGTATCCACTTGGGCCTCGAGAAGGGGAGGGGCGCCAAGTTGGGCTCCGACACCTTCCTGCAAGAAAGGGGTGAGCTCCATCGTTTCCAGGGCGTGGGCGAGGGAAGTCTCTTCCCGCGGGAGCGCTAAGGCCACCTGCTTCACAGCGGCATAGAAAGCAGCAACAAGATCAATGCACAAAGCACCCGCACTTTGTTTAGCCTGCTTGGTAGCATGCCAATGCAGCCGAATTCCCAGCAAGGCATGCTCAACTCCTTTGCCCTGGATACCACCTACCTGCGTGCACAAAAGAGAAGCATAAATGAAGTCAGTAGCTTTCTGACGTAAGAAACGGTAGTGCATCTTGGAGATGGTGTTGCATTTGTGAATGTTGCGTTGTGCAGCAGCCGTCCACACATCACCGCTGCCTTTGTGGAAAAAGGCCACCTCCCCGAGCTTGAACCCCAATGGCTCACGGCAATGCGCAGCTGCTTTGACCAGGATGGGAGCGAAAACCTCGGACAACCCGCACGGATCAGCTTTGAACAACTCATCTCGGAAGTAATCAGGCCCCGCACTGCGGTGGGCCTGTGCCTTGCTAAACAAAAGCTGCAAATCGAAGAGGGAGGGAATCGCCTCGATACAACGGACAAGGGGACCCAAAGGATTGATTCTACACTCGTTGTTATACTTACAGACCCCTTCACTATAGGAGAGCTCCTTGGCCCGTTCAATCTTCGCAAAGTGCGCTTGCACAATTTCATGGACTTGTTCAGGGGTACGGGCCGGTTTTCCTTGACCATCCAACATAAACGGGAAACCCGGGGTCTGTTTCGGCACGCGCCCAGCGAAACGCAAAACTCGGGAGAGATGATTCCACTCAGCCTGGGGGGTCCGTCCGTCGATGCTGGCCCTGACACTAGCCAGTTCTTTCTGCAAGAAAGCGTCTTTGTCTAACTGAAAGGAGCAAGCCAAAAAATCAGACTGGCCTAAAAACATGCTCTGAAGTCGAAGCATTGAAATATTAGCTCGAATGTCATTGGGATCTTCACAGCGCGCAGAGATGACAAAATCTTTGGCGTATCTGCCAAGTTCTTCGAATATCCGCTTCCATTCCTGCATGATCGACTGGTAGGTCCTAGGCAACTGCAGGGCGATGTGGGGGGGCAGCACGAACTCCTCCAAACACGAGCCACCATGCAACCCCGCAGAAGTGTAGTCAGGAGGTAACCCCATGATATCGGCAACTTGGCTAACCCACTCCTGGCTTTCTATGTGTCCAGGTGTCGCCACTGACAGATCCCCTTTCCAAAGTCGAACCGCAAGACGACGGAGGGCATCAATTTTTTGAGGGGACTGGGAAACGCCACTGGCTTTCATCAACACTCTTTTGATGCCCCTCCTAACGCGCAAAAACAAAAGAGAGCGGTTAGACACATACGGGGGTTGAGTAGTGCGAGCATCCTTCGGGAAGGCTTCGGCAGCCGCAGACAAAACCTGGTCCTGAACCATCCGCAGGTGGGCATTCATGTCAGTCTCCCATGGGATAGGCGGAATTTGGGCGATAGCCTCACGGAAGGCCGCCACCGCGTCAGGTTGCTTCGTTTTTAAACAGTCAAAGACAGGACAGTTCTTGTTTTTCTTCCTGTGCAAAGTCTCTGCCCAAGCGAATTTGACCTGCAGGGGAGCATGGTCCGTCTCCTCCATTCCGTTGTCGAAATGGTGCAGCACGCTCACTTCCTTGGCATGCACAAAAAAAGCGCCAGAGGTGGCCACATAGTCGATCCTGTGCTCCCCCCCCCCCCTTTCGTAACATAAGTATAGCTCGGATCATGGGGGAGAAAAGTATTGATCACTTTCAGAGCGAGAGAGGCCATTTTTTCATGGAAGGCATCCCCAGGCTGATCCTGACCCTGGATAAATCCCTCGGCCCCAATGACCTCGCTAGTCACGTCACCAACTCTGGCGTTAGCGTCAACCAAAACCATGTCAATATTATATTCCGATATGAGACGCTCCGCCTGCTCCCAATACTCACGCACCTTCGGCATGCCTTGTCGCACATGCGGGGCATGCAACGAGGCAACTCTGAGAGCAAAGTGAGGCGCGCTAACAGCCACGGCAAGGAAGCGGGGATTGGAGTGAAGTACACAGAGTTGATTGCGGCTCAAGAAGAGCTGTTTTCCTCCAGCCTTGCCGTAAGGGATCTCTCCATTGAACCAAACTTCACACCCCAGACCAGTGTTGTCAACCCCCGAGGAAACGGCCCAAAATTTCCCTTGGCGGCGAATCCCTTTTTTGTTCCAGGCCTCTTGAAGCCCAACCACCAAGGCAGCGGTTTTTTCGAGTTGGGTCGTAATGATCTGAGTCCTCATGAATCTACGTTTCCCAACAGTCCCCACCTTTTTCTCCACCGAGATGCTTTTTACATTGTACTGAATAACCGAGAAAGCAAAAGAGGCCTTGACCTTGATTCTTTCGTCTATGTGGGGCCCGGAGTCGGGAATGGGGACGCCCATGATCTGATGTCTTACTTTAAAGTCCTGCGGGCCATGAGGTAGCAGGTCTTCCGCATCAGCGGTAAACCGCACAGGGTAGGCCGCGCGATCCTCAGCGCGCGCAAAATCAAGCCAACTCCACTCCAACGCATGCACAAACAGCGTGGTGCGCACAAGGCGAGGCGGAAGCAGTGACACGGTTGATGTTGCCCTGCATCACATTGCGGGCAATGAAGTCCGCGAGGGTGTTCCAGGGGTGCTCATTGTGGGCACGGATATAGCAGACCTCCAGAGGCCTGACGCAACGCACCGTACGAACAATGGCGACAAGGAGACGCATAACCTCGTGTTTGGGGTCCACCGTAGAAACACCATTGACAACATCAACAGCATTCTTGGAATCAGAAAAAATAAAGACTGGACACGTGTCCTGCGAAGCCAGGGACTCTCCTAGGATCTGAACGCACGTCCAAAATATGCCCAGAGCCTCATGGTGCAGAATGTCGGGATCGGCTGACAATGGGCGAGCCTGGCACGACGCCCCCCAGCCACAGGACCAGAAACCCCCGAACGCGCAGAGGTTGTGGGAAAGCTTACGAACACAAACAGACGCCCAAGCTCCCTGGGTACCCTCACCAGGTTTGGTCGACCCATCCGTATAGAAGTGAAGCTCAAGGTGAGGTTCACTGCAAGGGGGGGACTCCACGAGGGCATCCTTTGAGACCTCTGGAAGGTCAAAACTGTTAACATCCTGGTCTAAGGGCGGGCGATACACCTCCGACAGAACCTGCTTGAGTGACGGCTGATCCGTGGGGATGTGTATTCTATAGAACGAGTCAAGGATTTCACCAGCCTCGGGTGGGGGCACAGAAGGGGGGGGGACAGGGTCGAGATCTCTATGAACTCCGTCCTGGGGGGGGCCTGGTGAGCGCACTGCCTGGCCTTCATTAATAGGTCGGCTGTCCGTGACAACGCTAGGGCAGAGAGAAGCAGGAATAGCATCACACAGGCTGATCACGAATTTCGAATTACCTGTGCTTGGTACGGGCAACTGATTTTGTCCATGTTGGTACCGGGTCTGCGTGTGGCAGGAGCTGCAGACGTCTCTTGAGACGTCGCATGTCTCCTGGGCTGAAACTGATTCCCCTTGCTGGGTAAAAACTCCACCGTCTGGCGGTGTCACTGTACTCCCACATATTTCGTTAAGGGCCCGAGCTGGTGCAGGGTGCCCCTGCACGCTATTGCCCAAATACAAAGCCGTGGATGTAACCAAATCAGTCATCCACTTACTCAACAAGCGCGCGCCTGCCACTGCCGACAGAACTGTAAGTCGTGTGACTGATCTGTTCGCACTGCTATGCAAACCTACTGCGCCTCGTAGATGGGGACGACGAAATCGAGGCACTGGCATTGCCAAAGGTTGTATGCTGGCGCCACTTGCAAGGTCCAAAACTTCAACTACGTCCAGGATGCCAATACCACCAGCCATGCGGTCCAACCGATCTCGAGCCTGGTTGGCAGCTCTCCGTGCGCGTTGTACATATGCGGTGTGTCGTTCAGGGTCTTGCTCTTGAAGTCGTCTAAGGTTGCGCTGGTACCGAAGCCTGCCGCGACGTGCTCTCCGCCAAGTCCTGGAACAGATGTCGCTAGCGATGGACCAAACATCCGTAGGGTCCCGAATGTCTGCCTGGACTGCAGGATGCGTCACCAACATATTGTGCACATAAGGCGTACATATGTCCTGCCAATCCTGCTTGGCCTGACCTGGGTCAAGGATGCTCTCCAAAATATTCCAATAAGGTACTTGGCCACGCATTTCGATCTCGATGTGACGCTGGACTCTTTGTGACTGTAATCGTACAGGGTCCATTCGTCTGGAAATTGCCCCCCGCAGCGCAGTAGCTGTCACAGACACCTGTAGCATCTTCAGATTTGTCTGGACCATAGCAATCTCGTCGTGCAAGCTATGAAGGCCTGGTTCCAACGGCGCCTCACCCACTTGACCCTCGGCACTTTGCACGATGTCTGCATCCAATGGCGGAGGCGGTATATACGATTGGAACTCGGGTGCGATGTAGTGCCCCAAGGGTGCAACTTGGGTAGCTACTGGGTCTGCAGTATCGTGAGCAACCATCCATTCCAAAAGCTGTTGTTCATCGTCGATTGCACGATGTTGTTCTGCCGTGAGGAGTTCGTCAATGCCTCCTGAGGCCAGAAGCTGAGCCCGACGCATGGCCGTGTCGAGCATGCGCTGGAGAACACCGTCAATGTTTGACTGGGCCGAGGTGCTTAGCTCGCTGGCGAGTCCGAGGCGGCGTCTGGCTGTGAGTAGTTCGTGCTGGTGGCGTCGCAGTATCCCAAGCCACGCAATTGGTCCAGCCCTCCATGCTGCTGTATAGCTACGCAGGTAACTGAGGCGGTGTGGGTGGTCTTTAGCGAAAACAGACTCACATATATCTCCAGCTACCGCCCGAATAATGTCAGTATCTCCATTGTGTAGGGGCCGCAATGCAGCGTCTTGATGTAGACGATTGCTAACCATGGGAATGCACCACAGAAGCCAATCCCGTCTCGCTTGGTCCACTGACCACAACGCTGCGTCGTAAGCCCAGCATGGGCAGAATTGCTCCAGATGAGACATCAGGTAACTTCGAGCTGACAAGGCCCTTCTGTGTGCAGCACGGTCATCGCCTCTCTGTAAAGCCCCAATAGCCGTAATATCGTACTCGTGGGGGGGCAACGCACGCTCCTTGGAATTAAGAGCTCGGCTCACCCGCATGGGCTCTAAGGGTCCGTGCCCCCCCCCCCCCCCCATAAAACGCCATTGATGTCGCACTTCCCCCGATGTAGTAAGAGGTCTGCCCACTGCAAGTGTGCGGGCGTAACAGTCACAACCTTCTCCGACATGGGAACGGAAAAGCCGCTTCGCCTGTGGGCACCCATGCCTTTGGTATATGCGTGGGCTCCTGCAGCTGCCAGTGGCGGAGGTACACCTGGAGTATTGATGGCCCCAGCTCCAGGGTAAAGGTACTGCTCGTAGAAGGGATGATGATACGTATCGTCAACTACCAGGCCCCGAGGTAGAAGTGAAACTTGTCGATTGGGTCTTGGCCGTGCTGTACCCGACGGCGAGACACCACTCTGTTGCTGCCGTTGTAAACCTGTCGGCGCAACTGCGTAGTGAGACTGAGGTATTGGCCGTGTAGGTCCCAACGGCACAGTGGAATCAAATGACTTTGATTCATTCAAATCTAAGCTATAACTTTGCAAACCCCCAGGAGCTGCGTGTACTGACTGAATTGGCTCTGTACGAAAATCCATCGCCGATCCAATCTTTGAATTATTGACGTAGTAGTAGGTCTCCTGCAGTCCCCAGTAGACCTTCTTCTTGTTCTTGATGATGTCGCTCACAGGTCTGAATCCGCTCTGCGTTCGACTGTCTGAGATTTGCTCTCGGGCGTGGCACCCGTCGGCATCAGGCTGGCGCCCGTTTCGTCGGTCGCTGAACGTCTGGCGCCCTGAGCCCTCTGTGGTGAGTTCGGTACTGCGACTGATGCTGCTGATGGTAATGCCGTCGATGCCGCCGCATCTGGACAAAAACCTGGTTGTCGCAGGGAAGCCTGCAGCCTGGCAGCAGCCTCCGCCGCTTCTGTCCGTTGAATCGCATCCAAAGCTTCCGCCTCCTCTACCTTTCTCACTGCTTCCAAAGCTGCTGCCATCTCTGACTTCTCGTCCTGAGAGCTGAGGATCTCGATTGGGGCGGGGCCCGTGACAGAGTGGGTAGGTGCAGGGATGAACTCCGCTTCGAAGGGCTGGGTCGGCGAGATCTCGATGGAAGGTTGGGCAGAAGGCTGCGGGGTGGGCGGTACTCCCCAAAACTGCGTCGGCCCCAGTGCCCCTCCGCGTTCCCACATAGACGCTGGCACTGTTGCTGACTGGGCCGGCGGGGGCCCCTGAGGCTCCGACGCAGGGGGTGTAGGAGACAATGGCGGGATCTGTGTCGGCGTCAGTGGTGTAGCTGAGTCGGGCGTAGGGCGGGGTGCCAGCCCTGCTGCAGAAAAGATCGCCGCTGGAGCTCCCATGGGTCCTTTCCCTGGCTGATGCTGTAAAGGATGTGGCCCCACCTGATAGGGATCTGTTTGGGCCCTGGAGAGCTCCACACCCTTGCCCAACTTGCCGCCCTTCATAGCTTCCAACTGCATCGCAATGTCGGGGGACATCCCTGAATTCTGCTGCTGCTGCTGCTGGTGGAAGATGGCTGCGGCTTGAGCTTGTAACTGAGCATGTTGCTGCTGAGTATGCTGAGCCTCCATCATAGCTTTGACTTGGGCTTGCTGGTTGCCCTGTTGCTGGCCTTGCTGCGCCGGCGGAGCTTGGGCATCATGATGCCGCTGGAAGTGCTGTTGCTGGCCCTCCGAGGTCTGCGCCTGAGTCACTTGCTGCTGAGGCGGGCTCTGAGCATGAGTCCAGGTATTGCCAGTAATCTGCTGCTGCGAGTGCACTCCCTGTCCTTGGAACTGGTACATAAGCTGCTGCTGCTGCTGCATGAAACTGGCCAAGAGAGCTTGCTGTTGCTGCTGTTGCTGGTCCATTTCCTCCTGGCGCTTCAGCATCATCGAGAAACAATCGGCCATCGTGGCGTTCTGGCTCGGTGTATATCCCAGGCGTGATGGAATCGAGCGCCTGGCTTCCTCGGCTGACTGAGAAGAAGACGGGAGCGAAGGCCTGGATCTGGGCGGGCATTCGCTCGACGGCAGCTGCTGTGGCGAGGTAGGCGGAGGATGCTGCGGGGGCGGGCGCGGCGGGCCCGCAGGTAGCGCCCCAGGATCTTGCGCTTGACCCGTCACAGCCGCCAAGTAGTTCTGCCCGTGGGTCCACTGATGCCTCTGTGGAGGAGCGCCATCCATATTCACATCGCCATTGGTCGTCGCCTCCTGTTGTGCTGCAGCACGTTGAGCAGCCATGGTAGCCTCCTCCTCCTGAATGGCCTGCTCGATGTCCTGGACAGATTGACGCGACTCCCCGACCAGTTCGACCAGCTCGTCCTCCTTCGACTCCATCTCCCGAAGCTTGAATTGGAGGTCCTTTAGCTGCTCCTCGAAGCGCGACTGCCGCATGCGGGCGTCTGCTAGCTGCTGGCCAAGAGGTTTCAAGAGTGTGATAGCGTAGCAGATCATGGCCATCTCTTCTTTCTCCTGGGTATCCTCTTTGCCTGCCCTCTTCGCAGCAACCACCAGGCGAGCCAGTGTAGTGAGGCGTTATTTTGATCTCTTGCTCCAGTTGGCA